AACCCTGACCCAAACTCTGGAGGTCGTCAGATCAATAGTCCAATAAACTTGAGACGCGTCGGTTTCTGTCAGGGTTTTGTTTGAACATTTGAACCAGCAACTCAAACTTCATCAGATGGTTGGACAAAACCAGAACCTTCAGAACCGACTTTGTTCATTCAGGCCTGGACACACAGGACTTTTTATGTCTCCTGTTGTTGACAATGACCTTCTGGTTCATTGACTTCAAGTACTGTGGGAATGGTGGAGCCTGCTATATATGTATATACCGTATATATGTGTAGCTGTACATATATATGCACAGCTACACATATACATTTATACTGTATATAGTGGTGAAATAACGTAATCCTCAAGAGGTTAGAACCTTCAGAACCTTCTGCAGCTGCGACCATGACATCGTGAGGACATCGACTCGTCGTTGGTGAAGCTGAGGACACACGACACCACAAACACAAACTTAGTGTGTTGACAGCCAATGAGAAAGAGAGTCAGAAGACAACAGGAAGTAGAGTGAGAAGACAACAGGAAGTAGAGTGAGAAGATAATGGGAAGTAGAGTGAGAAGACAACAGGAGAGACTGATGGAGCTGTGGCAGGAGCACCAGTGTCTATATAATGTGGGTTGGAATTCAGGGGTCAGAGGTCAGGGGTGGATGTCTTCACTTCAGTGGGTCCTCAGCTTCAGAGAGAAGAAGAACTAGAGAGTGCTGTAGTTTACAGGTAAACTTAACAACTAATAATCAAAGAGTCAAACAGTCCTGGAGCCCAGGGTTGGACCTCCTGGAGGTGAAGATGAGAAACGGTTCTGAGTTCCCCTGAACCATCCTTTCAGCTCGCTCCTCTTGGTTCTATCCATCCATGACAACGTTTCTCTACATGTGAAGAAACAAACTCCACTTTTTTCACTTCTTTTTTTTAAAGTCCATCATTATTGACACTTAAAAAATGTTGGGGGTGAGGCCGGAGGGGTGAGGCAGTTCTCTCCAAACTTCCTTTAACTGTCTGTAAATAACACGAGGGAAGAGTGTTTGAAATTCTTAGTACTGTTTAAAGAGAACCCAGTAGTGTCAGTGGTTCTGGTCCAGTTTTCTTTCCTCCAGGTCTTCTGCTCCATCTGGACTTGTTCATTCACAGATTCCTCCTGTGTGTTGGACTGTTGGTGTGTGTGTGTGTGTGTGTGTGTGTGTGTGTAAAAGAGAAGAAGAAACGACTCAACACAGTCGGTCAGAGTTCTGAGGTCTACAGTCTGGACGGGTCCGACTGGTTCTGCTCCTTCCTTGGACCGGCCCCTGGTCCTCACACCTTGGCCTCCAGCAGCTCCAGGAACAGTTTGTGCATGGGGACTTTTCCGTCTTGCTTGATGCTGTAGAAGTGCTGCACTGCCTTGGTGGAGGTCTGCCGCAGCAGAGGCAGGGACATGAGCAGCTTGCCCGTCCTGCGGGGGTCCTCCTGGTGCTGGGAGGCCTCGTAGTCCTGCAGGGCCTCGTGGAGAACGTCCTGGAGCTTCTGCACTGCATCCACGTCTTCAATGTGCATGGAGTCTGGAAGAAGGAAGAACAACACAGATCAGATCACGGGGGGGGGGCAGGAGGGGGAAGACTGTTTCTATGAGAAGATAAAAGCCAGTGTGTATGTGTGTGTGTGTCTGGGTTGAGGACACAGTGCGGTGCCGTGCGGTGCAGCAGTGGTATTGGTGACGGCCTCTGCTGTCCGTCAATAATAACTCTCCATATTGGTCCTTGGGGAGACGAGGTCTTAATGTGGGTCGGCCTTCAGCTCCAGCTGTCAATCAATGTCTCTGATCAATGACTACACGTATGTTCAATAATAATCACAACTGTCCATGGCCACGCCCCCAAACACACACACACGGTAAAAGAGAGGACCATAGACCCTTGAAGAAAATCAGGGCCCGTCCTCACCCTCATTTAAAGGAACAGTAGCACTGATGTCTGTGTACTTTCTCATGCTCATATCAATCATTATATAATCTATAATTAAAGTTAAACTTAATTTTCTATTTTGTGTTCCTTTCCAAAGTAGTCTTTATTTAAAAGGAACGGTCTCAGGTTTGATACTTTTCACAGTCAATGAGGGAAGCACCTCCCATACTGTCCTCTCAGAACAGCCATAGAATTAGGATTTAAATAAAATGATAAATTTAGAAAGAAAAAAGGATTTTCTATTTGTGTTCAATTGTAAAAGCAATAAAAATATGAACAAATGCCTTCATCTTTACAAGAAGTTAACAAAAATGAAACAATTCTGATTGGACAGATTTGGTCAAATCACAGCATCACAGCAGCTCATCTTCATCTTCTTCTTCACTGAGACTGAACGTCAGTAAAAACCTCAGTGATTTTCAGACTCTCCCTCTAAAATTTTGCCTCAAAGTTTCTTGGGTTTGAAAGCGTTTTGGACAAAAACTCTGTGTTTGCTACTAGCTGCTACTGGTGGACGCCGCCTGTGGCACGACCTGCACACGACCACGCTCCTCCACCACGCTCCTCCACCACGCTCCTCCACCACACTCCTCCACCACGCTCTACGACTACGCTCTGAAGCAGAACAGCAGGCATTAATGAGCTCAAGCACAAAGTCTGTTAAAGCCCATGTACATACACACACACACACACACACAGACTTTTTCCCATGGCTAATTCAGCTGTCTTTACATGTGGGCCACGTCTGCTAACATTTCTTAAGGCCTGGCTTCATTAATGCAGACGATTAGCATCCTGTGAATTAATTAGTGTCAGTGCCCTTCAAAATGCTAATGCTAGCATTCTGTTGTCTTGGAGAGGTTAGCTGGTGATGTCAGCTGTTTCCTCCTCAGTCAGTGGCACAAGACATGTGACCATTAGGACCAAAACTGAAGAAATCTACAAAGTGCTGGGGAGCGGGACGGTTACCTTTTTTAAACAATATTTACAACATAATCTGTAATAATAATAACAATAATAATGGATATTAAACAGTTTTAGTACTATTATTATCAGTATAGAGTAAATAATAATGGACATTAAATAGTATTAGTACTATTATTATCAGTATAGAGTATTATCATTAGTACTTTTGTTGACTGTTTTTTTTCAGACCAGTTCCATGCTGTTCATATATATCAGACCCCCTCCCACCCCCACACCCTCCAAGTCTTGAAGTTTCTGGAAGTTTCTGATGACAACAGATCCTGGGATCTACAGCAAGGGAAGAAGAGCGTGCACGTGAGGCAGGGAGAGTGCATCTGATGGAAGCACACACACACACACACACACACCCTCTCTACCTCCTTGTGGTGGCTCAGGATGTGTGATATTCTGTAATAGCACCACAGTACTACTGTAGTACTACTGTAGTACTACAGTAGTACTACAGTAGTACTGTGGTGGTGTGTGTGGTGAAGCTGGTGCTCTTATTTTGTGTGTTGTTGAGTGGGTGTCAGATGTGTGTGTTATTGGTGGCAAAGGCAGAACAAAGGCACCCTCACTCTTTATTCACAAGTCTCCCACATTGTATTGACAGCCCCCCACCCCCCACACACACACACACACCCCTGTAATTAAACAGCAGTGAGGAGCTGGCCAGCTTCCAAGGCAAAGTTCAAAAGATGGGTCACCGAGGTAAAACGCCTGTGTGTGTGTGCGAGTGTGTGTGTGTGTCAGCGTGTATGTGAGCTGAATACATCAGAGGGTCTTTATTGACCGACGTTGGGCTCTAATGATTTCACCTTATTTAACAGGCGTTCAAAGAGATAACCATGCTAATTGTGTAAAGAATGGTGAGTGAGTCCCTGCACCTTCAACTGATCAAAACCAGTCTTTCCTAAAAGCAAACACACGTATGAGTGCGTGTATGTGTGTGTGTGTGGGGGGGTCCAGACCTGAGTTGGCCAAAGCTATGGCTTTCAGTGTAACAAATTCCTCCTTCTCCAGCTTCATGGACTTGTATTTCTTGACCAGTTGAAGGATGGCGTTGTTCAGATCCAGAAGTCCAGCCAGTTTGGACTGGTCCTCGTCCATGATGTAGTCCTCAGCATAGACCAGCTGCAGAGACAGAGACAGAGACAGAGACAGGCCCAGAGTCAAATACCTGTGTTCTCTACAGTCTGTCAGTGACCACATCAAACACACTGACCTTGTCTTCAAAGGACAAGGAGCGGTACACCACACGCAGTATCAGGATCTCCATCCATGCACTCTGCAGTAGACTCATCTGGTCTGCCAACGACAGGGTGGAAAAACCTGGAGAACCAAACAAAAAGAACCTTTTTAGTTTTATTAGAACAGGACTAGAACCAGTACTAGAACTTAACTAGTATTAGCACCAGTATGAACCAGTACGGGGCCGGGGGGGGGGGACTTATCTACACCTGACACAGCTGTCATGCACTGATCTTTACACACACGCGCCATCTTTTTTTCTCTCTTTATATTCCAGAATAATTTTGTGTCCATCAAGCGTTTCTGTCCCTCTGCTGGAGACGTTTGGAGCTGCACTGTCTGCTTCAGGGTCTACTAACTACAGGAAATCAATCACATTTTTAGACTAACCTCAAACAACAGCCATGACACACACACATACACAGGTATTCTGGGGTATTACTGGGGTATTTCTGGGGTATTTCTGGTGTGTGTGTGCCCTTCCCTGAATTTCCAGGGAATTTAGATAGTTTCCTGTGAGTGAACTTGTGTGTGTATCTGTTTGTGAGTGTGTATGAGCGACTCCCCCCATGACCCCCCCCCCCCCCCCCGGAGCTTTCCTTCCCCTCCACCCCACTGTCTCTTATCTGTCTGATTAATAGGCGGGCGGCTGCAGGACAAATTAATTAACAGATAACAACACCCCCCTCCCGACCCCCCCTCCCCTGGTCCAACCCCAGCCTCCGTCTCATGCAGTGATCGATACAACAGAAGAAAAGAAACATCAATGAGAATTTAGTGCTGATGATGGAGAGAGAGAGAGGTATTGATGGAGGGGGGAGGGGCAGGGGGAGAGAAAGTAAATAGAAGTGGGGTAGTTAAATGGAGGGATGGGTGATTGGAGGTGGGGGAGAGTAGGGGAGGGGGCTTCTTTCTCTCATACCTGTGATTCTGTCTGACAACAGAAGGTTTGGTCTGAACCACAGTGGCTTCTGTCTACGGTTGTTGAGGGGTCACATGGTGTGTGTGTGTGTGTGTGTGATCCTACATCTGAATGTGTTTATTAAATATAACCTATCAAAACTGATGGAACGAACAGTGGTACAGTGGTTAGTGCTCTTGCCTCACAGCATGAAGGTTTAAGGTTTGAGTCCAAGCTCTAACTGCTGCTCTGGGTGTGTTCACTCTAACATGACGCTGGTGTGAATGACCCCAGGGTGTGACCTAGGGCTGCTGGATTCTGGCAAAAATCATGATTACAATTATTTTGATTCTTATTGAAATCACGATTATTCAAAAGAATGTGAGAAAGAAAATAAACTAAAAAAAAACAAAACATAAATAATATTGTCATTTTTCTGGGGTGGGGGAGAGGGGACTGTGTGTTTTGCCAATATTGTTCCTGAAATGACTGTTCTGTGTTCTGCTGTTTTATATACATATAAGCATATAATAAATAAAAACAGATATCAAAGACGATGGACTAGGAACAAAGTGCAGCTCAGTCTGAACAAACAGAGATAGAATGATTTGCCTACATTCAACTTCCTCCTCCTCTCACAACGTGATGAAAGTCAAACTATTGTTTGTGTCGGGGGGGGGGGGCAGCTGTAGCGTTTACTGCTGCACTGACATCACACGATTTGGTAGAATAATCATTTTATTTCGATCGTCTTCTTTACATGATCGTGGGAAGCCAAAATCGTAACTGAAATCCAATTTCGATGAATCGCCCACACTGCTGAGACCCCACTGTGACACTGAGAGGTTTCATTTGACCAATTCAGAGTCCAGTGGTTAAACATGGCTCACAGGTGTGGGCTTCAGGTGTGAGTTCAAAGGTCAAACATCAAGGTCAGAAACAGACACATGTTCATTTACTGTATAATTTTCTCTGCTCGCTCCCCCACCTCCACTACAGATTGAAAAGTGGTGGAGTGGATGGTAGAGCGAGAGAGAGAGAGAGAGAGAGAGTGTGTGTGTGTGTGTGCGCTGGTGTGTGTAAGCCTTTCTAAATGAGCTTCTTCTCTGGTAGATTTGTTTCCTTCTCATGGCTCACCTCGCTGTAATTAGGTCAGCTGCTGTTTGGACTCTGAAGTGTGTGTGTGTGTGTGTGTGTGTGTGTGTGTTGTTTCAGCTTGGCTGAAGACATCACAGGGGTTCAGTGTTCATTTGGGCCAGTGTCTGGCCATAAGGTGTCAGAGATGGAAACACACACACACACACACACAACACCGTAGCAGTGACGTGGCTGAAATTTCAACACATACTAAGATGATGTCCAGTGAAAGGGCATCACTGCAGTCATGTGACTTTGTACAAACCAATCAGTGAGGTTCCTGCAGCTGATCCAAACATGAAATCAACACCTCAGTCACTAACTATTTACACCAGGTTATTAAACTGAATAACTGTCAGAGTTATTGGCGTTAGAGCTGAGGATCGAACCTGTGACACCCTCAGTGTAAAGCAAGAGCACTAACCACCTCCTCCACTCGGTGGTCCTCAAACAACAACTATATTTAATATAAACTAGTCTAACCACCGCCCCCCCATCTTCACCCCCCTTCCTTGCTCCCTCTCTCCCTCTCTCTCTCCGTCCGTGTCCTCGGGGGTGGGGGTGGGCGGGGGGGCAGTGGTCTGGTTGTCCCAGCCTCTAATCAGTGTGAACAGTCAGCTAATTACCAAACCCTCAGCACTGACTGACTGTTAATTGCATACATTAGACACAATCATCAGCAGAGTGAGATTAACACTTAGACCGGAGTGTGTGTGTGTGTGTGTGTGTGTGTGTGTGTGTCAGCCTCCAATGTTCTAACTGGTCCAGACCATGTGTGGACCACAAGTCCTCACAGGAGCCTCACCTAGTCCTAATCTGTGGTTGTAAATGTGATGCAGTTAAAGTTAAAGAATCACAGCAGGTGGGGGTGATGAGGGGTGATGAGGGGTGAGGAGGGGTGATGAGGGGTGAGGGGGAGTGATGAGGGGTGAGGAGGGGGGTGACATTAGTGTGTGTGTGTATGATAAAATACCAATATGAATGTTTTACTTCACACTTGTAGCTGCTCCAGAGCTGTGAGTGTGTGTGAGTGTGTGTGTGTGTTCAGCTCTACTGAGGACACACAGAGGTAAGGTCAAAGGTCAACCTACTTTACAGTGTTGTTCACACACTGACACTGAATCCATCCAGTCTCATGACAGCTCTTACAGAGAACACTGTTTTGTCAGAGCTTGACCTTTTGACCTGTGCGTCCCCCCGTCAGTCACTCATTTTCCCAGTTTGGTCAATTTACTGCATTGTGACAGATTATTGATTTGTCCTGGATTACCTTGGAAACAAGTCCAGAAAAACTCTGGATCTTTCTGAAACACACACACACACACACTTGGTCTACAGTGTGTGTGTGTGTGTGTGTGTGTGTGCTGCGCTCACTCTCAACTGTGAGACGTTGGCTTCATTATTGGACTAAACACAATCACAGGACGTGTGTGTGTGAAGAGGAAGTGTGTGAGCGTGGCTTTACAGTAAAGCCCAGTTATCCCCCCTCGGCCCCCCCATCTGAATATGAGATTATTAGGCCGTGTTGATTCTCTCTCCTCCTAATCCTCCAGCTTTCACTGAGAGAGAGGACGGACAAAATTCCATGGGGATTAATTTTCAATTCATAGATTAGAGCTCACTCTCCAATATCATCACCCAAAGGGGGGAGGCAGAGGGGGAGAGAGAGAGAGGGGAGAGAGGAGGAGAGACTTGAGATAGAAACAGACAGGTGGAGGGGTGGAGGGGTGGAGGCAGCCCTGTCTCCTGGACTCCTAGATTCAACAGCCATTTCCAAGACAGGAAGTGATATGACATCATCAGTGAGCACACACACACACACACAGCATTATAAGGGGAGTAAAACAAATAATAAAAAAATAAAGATGTCAATGACAACAGTTCATTTACACTGATCTTATTATGACATCATGAAGTCATGTGACCTCCAGTCAGGGACCCCCGTGCAGAACCAGGTGAGTGTGGGGGGAGACAGGTGGGGACATTGTGTGTGTGGAGTCATTTTCAGACTAATGGTTGGTTTATAGCTGAGGTGATTGACAGCTGCTGCTGCTCTGGGTCTGACCACTGGTCTGATTACATCAGCCAATCAAATCTGTCCCTCAGCCAACCACACACAATCTGTAACCTGAGCACACTGGTCAACCTGCATCTGATACACCTGTGTGTTTACACACACACACACACACACACCCCAGGGCGGATGTAGACAGGGCAGGGGAATTGAACCCTAACCCTAAATGACAGCCATAATCAGATTAGATCAGAGTATTAAAACTATTAGATTATCATTGAAACACAGGTATTTAAACAGTAACAAATAAGACAAATGTCCCTGCAGTGTGTGTGTGTGTGTGTGTGTGTGTGTGTGTGTGTTCATATACGCTGCCAGCTTCACATCACGTGACAAACAAACCACCAGAACCACTTTGTTTTCTAAGTCACCTTTCAAATTTTCATTTAAATAAAATAAATGTAAAGAAGGAGGAATGTGAAACGTCTCCATGTCGTCAATCTGATCCAATCAGAAGAGAGTGAAGCCAAACATTAGGCTCACATATCAAACAGTCTGCTCTAATCTGATTCTCTCAATATTTGTTTCTGTCTGTAAACAGGCCTTCATCTGTCTGTGTGTGTGTGTCTGTGTGTGTGTGTGTGACTCCATCGTCATGCTGGAGGCAGAGTAGAAAACAACACACACACACAACTAGACTGGTTATGAGTCCAATGCAGATGGGAATCTGAGACTATGAGGACCTGGAGAGACTAAGGAGTTAGCAGGAGTAAGGAGGAGTTAAACTAATCATGTGTCGAGCCTCAGCCTCAATAAATTGTTGCTCATTTCAAAGTAACAGTGTATAACGGTAAGTCAAAAAGTTCTAAGACACTAGATCAATCAAATCATTAGCTAGCTGGCTAAGTCAGCTCACAGCGACCGACTAAGTCACAGTCAGACATGAACTGTTACAGTTGAAATTTTTGTCTCAGCCAAATTTTTTTTTTCCTTTTCTCTGAAACCTCAGGCTAAAAGTGCTCTGAGGCTAACAGAGTGTTTTAATGTAAAACTTTTGTCTACCTTCACTAAAATGAAAATGAAAATAAAATCAAACAAAGAGAGGGTTTGAGATAAAGACTTCAGAGGTGGCTCGGACGGAGCAGGAAATCAATGGTCGAAGCTGAGTGAGTGTCGGAATAAAAAAAAGAAAATGAGGGGAAAGAACTGCAGGTAAAGAAAGAACAGTTACGGAGAGATAGTGGAACAAGAGAACCGTGGTTGGACAGTGATGGACCCACTGAGAGTAATTTCCCTCTTGGATAAAGGAAGAATGGGGGAAGGGTCATAAAAAGGCTTCACTAATGTGAAGAGCCGTGGTTCTGTTCAAACAGACTGACTTAAAGGTTCTGTCTAATGTTCACTGAATCATTCACTGGGTTTTTCTTCTGCTCTTCGCTCCTCAAGTGTTGCCCCATCTGTCTCCCTTTGTGTCCCCCAGTCCAGATAAGAGCCCCCAGTGTTAATGCCCCCTAGTCACTTAGTTATAATGGAAGATGAGGAGGCATTGGGGGGGTGTAGTCAGACAGAGAGAGAGAGAGAGAGAGAGAGAGAGAGAGAGAGAGAGGGAGGATGAGTTAATAAATAAATAGTTAATTTCTTCATCATTCACTCTGATTCTTTCCTTAAATATTTGCTGTTCTTCCACGTCATCTGATTACAGACACATAGACATACTTACACCAACCTGGACCATGACTGAAGCAGACCTAGTCTGCAGCTCTTCTCTAACTCTAACCTGGGTCCAAATCTAATCCTAACTCTAAACTCAATCCTATTCAGACCAAGCACCACAGACTGACGACTCCTGCAGCGTTTAATCTTGCCTTACACTCTGCCTTTGTGTGTGTGTGTGTGG